CGCTCGGACAGATAGAAAAGACGGACAGACATTTGAGCAGGTCCCCCGTCAGGGCGATACAAATCCAATTTAAAAAACATCGCAATAATGTAAAGAACATGCATTGTATTCTTAGGAGTATAAAATTACATTTAAATGACAAAGTGAACACAAATATGACTTACGTTGTATTAGGGTATAAATTGTGACCTTTTTGCACCAAGTTTGTAGTTTTAATGGATGTTTTTCAAAGTCTGTGCTTGGAAGTCTTACTTAGTATCACTGCACTTCTAATAAAAGAAAACATGCCTAGTAAACTGCTTGTGCTTGTTTACTTTAATTATAATACAGTGTATAAAACTTAGGAAATTGTAAAGCCATTTTGAAATCCAAGATGGCTGCCGCAATAAATTTATTGTTTTTGCATCTATTCTTCTCGTCCACACTTTAGCAGACTAAAATTAACAAAGCCTTAATTTAAAATGCCAAATAAATGTGTATATATCTCGCTCATGGGAGAATTAAAGTAAAATTCAATGGCGGCCATTTTGAAATTGATTCTTAAAGGACTAAAAATACAGCCGTGGTAGAGCAAAAAATGAATTCAGCGTACTCGAAATAGGTAAGTAAGCCCAACTACCTGCTTGTACTAAAAAAATGCCGTTAGGATAAACATTTTCCCAAAATCAAACCAGTCTATAACCAGACAAGGCCTTATTTTCAAAGTGAAAAAAGGGAAATAACTGGGAAATATGGATGACACAGTTATATAACTTGGCAATATCATGTACTTTGTATTGATAAGTAAGTGTGGAAATTATGAAGCCATTAGTATAGACAGAACTTAAGATATTTCCAACTTGCCATTTTAGGTTAACCATTATTCATTTTCTAAGTGCTGACCTTGTAAATATGGAAGCCATAGTTATGTAACTTGACCAGATCATGTACTTTGTATTGATTAGTAAGTGTGTAAACTAAGAAGCCATTGGTACAGGTAGAACTTAAGAAAAATCCAACTTGCCGTTCTAGCTTAAACTTGTACAGACAGACGGATGGACGTACTCACAAAATGGTACTTATGTGACTTTTCCTTTGATCTTTTTTGGCCATTTTTAGTCACACAATGCTTAAAGCATGAGGGCCATAATGGCCCTGAAGTGGCTCACCTGTATATAGGCCCCCGGAACGGGGCCAGTTTAAACCCAAGGGCTTTTATTTGAACAAACTTGGTAGACACCCATTAGAAGATGTTTCATGCTAAACATCTAAGGTCTAGCTGGTCAAGTTTTTTCTTTACACATATAGTTAAAAACAATGATACACCTCGGGCAGGGCCAGTTTTGACCCAAGGGCTTTAATTTGAACAATCTTTGTAGACACTTACTAGAAAATGTTTCATGCTTAATATCTAAACTCTAGCTATTCAGGTTTTTTCAAAGAAGATTTTAAAGTTTTTGCTATACACATATAAGGAAAATCAATGTCCCCCAGGGCGGGCCAATTTTGACCCGAACAAACTTTGTAGACACTCACTAGAAGATGCTTCGTGCTTAATATCTTAACTTTAGCTATTTGAGTTTTTTCAAAAAAGATTTTGTTATACACATATAAGGAAAATGAATGACCCCTAGTGCGGGGCCAATTTTGACCCCAGGGCTTTTATTTGAACAAACTTGGTAGACACTCACTAGAAGATGTTTCATGCTTAGTATCTAAACTCTAGCTATTTGTTTCTTTTCAAAGAAGATTTTTTAAGTTTTTGCTATACACATATAAGGAAAATCAATGACCCCCGGGGCGGGGCCAATTTTGGCCCCAGGGCTCTTATTTGAACAAACTTGGTAGACATCCATTAGAATATGTTTCATGCTAAATATGTTAGCTCTAGCTCTTTGGGTTCATTAAAAGAAGATTTTTTAAGGTTTTACTATAGATTTTTTAAGTTTTTACTATATGCATATAGGGAAAATCAATGACCCCCTGGGGCGGGGCCAATTTTGACCCCAGGGCTTTTATTTGAACAAACTTGGTAGACACCCATTAGAAGATGTTTCATGCTAAATATCTTAGCTCTAGCTCTTTGGGTTCTCTAAAAGAAGATTTTTGTATTTTCTGATCGCAGATCAGTAAATACATAGCTAGCATCCACGGTCTAACACAAAATTTCCTAACAGACCTAACAACGCAAGGTAGTTCTCAGTCAAAACTGCTTAAAAACCAGCAATTTAGAAGAAAGAACAATTTTTTGTTACAAGTATCCAACAAATTACTACACATTCAAACTTTAAAAGTAGCGTTGGCTTATAGAATTGTCAATAAATGCACACTCACAAATTACGCAGATGAATATGACTTTAATCAATGAAAATGCTATTTATAGCGATGTCGATTACCGAATACTACACAAATAAATCTGACTGCCGAGTAGTTGAATATATAGTTTCTACATCTTGGACTGTTTGGGCGAGAAGATTTATGCTAAATTATTTACTTCAATTTTAAACAACAGCAGGTTTACCATGAACAAAACACCTCGAAATTAATAAACCCGAAATGCAATGGAAATTCTAAATTTAGAATGACTAGATTTTATTTGCGTTTGTTTGTAAAACTTCTCCGTGGTGCAGGGGTAACGCGCTCGTTTAGTGTGTGAGAGGTCTTGAGTTCAAATCCCAGTCGAGTCAACATTTTTTAAAATTCTCTTTTTTAGTGTCTTTGTTAAGGAAATAGCCACGATATGCAAGGATAAAGTGTGGCTATCATAAAAAATGAACATAAATGATTTTTGATGCAACTCTAGTTTTGCAAAATTCCGTATGTATCAAACTCTGGTGCCCTGCAAGATGAATTATAGTACATAAAAATAAACTTATACAGGAAAACACATACAGATATACAGTACAATTTAGTTTGCAAATATCAGAAAATACCACAGAGCTTGCAGCCCTTTGATTTAAGTTTTTACTATATGCATATAGGGAAAATCAATGAGCCCCTGGGGCGGGGCCAATTTTGACCCCAGGGCTTTTATTTGAACAAACTTGGTAGACACTCACTAGAAGATGTTTCATGCCAAATATCTAAGTTTTAGCTCTTTGCGTTTTATAGAAGAAGATATTTAAAGTTTTTTCTTTTGGATGCCATGGCAACCAGAGTTCTGCATGGAATTAAATTCTTTGAACAATTTTCTAAGGTGACCACCAAAGGAACATTCCTGTGAAGTTTGGCTTAGTGGTTTATGAGGAGATGTCATTTAAAGTAAAAGTTTACGGACGCCGGACGGACGAACGCCGGACGGACGGACGCCGGACGAAAAGCGATCACAAAAGCTCACCCTGTCACTTTGTGACAGGTTAGCTAAAAAGACACACAAGTAAAAACGGAATGAATAGGATGAAAGAGAATTTACTGTTACACATTGTTCTCTAAGTCACACAAGTATCTCTGGGTTCGTACGGACGGACAGACGGACTAACAGTTCAATTACTATATATTTATTTATATACATAAGCATATTTACGCAATTATATATGTATACAGTGAAAGTTGAGAAAACCGAAATGCTTTTGGACCAAGGGTTTTGTCTGGTTTTCTCAGCGGTCCGGTTTTCAAAATGTCCCCTTTAGAATCCTATGTACCTAGCATTGACTTACAATGGATGCTGTATATTTGCATTTTCATGATCATATGCACGTAAATTGCTAAATAAATGATGAATTACAAAGTAAACATGTTTTATTTTTTTGTCTCTTTATTGCATCTAAATACAATAAAATTTTGATTTAAAACGAACAGCAGTTTCCTCATAAAGATACAGTCCTTTTATATCCGCACTTGTTTACATTTGGGTATTGGATAATGATTTAACAAACATAGTTTACTTTGTTTATTTTTAATAATGCCCCTTTCCCACTGTAAATATTGCCGATGCCTTATTTAAAGGTCTTTGCAAAGTTTCACTGTCTTTATTTAATTGAACTTGGTCACTTATAGATAAATGTCTTTTTCTTTGTATTGATATATTGGGAAATGAATATACAAAACCAACACAGTATAAAATATGTTTTATTTATACTGACTTTAACTTACCAATTCCTCGTGCATTTTGGCATTAATATAAAACGGTAACATCTATGCCTTACAATAACTCAAACTGTGAAGACGAACATAATAAACAAATCAGACAATCAGTGTCCCATTACAGCTCAGTTAGCGTATTAGACACAACCAATTGATAAGTACACAAGGTTATTCACACCTTCACTGTCCGGTATTGTCTGGGTAATTATCTATATAATTTACTTCAAGGACCCCTATCAACCGTCCAATATTCGGTTTTTACAGATTCCGGTATTGTCAATGTTTAATGCAATAGTTTAACGAAGGGAAAATTTGGGACTGAATTAATTGTCCGGTATTTAGAGAGTTCCGATTTTCTCAGCGTCCGGTTTTCTCAACATTCATTGTATATATATAAATAAAAGCCAAAAAAATGAAAATTTCAATAATTTGACCTTCAAGGTTAAGGTCATTTTTTGAGTGAAGGTCAAGGTCTGCCTGGTCATTTTAAAGGGCTATCTTTGAAGATTATCATGCTCAAGTTTGAAGACAATCCATTCAAAAATAACAAAGTTACAGCCAATAATAGCCAAAAATATGAAAATTTCAATAATTTGACCTTCAAAGTCATGGTCATTTATGAGTGAAGGATCAAGGTCTGTCTAGTTATCTTAAAGGGCTATCCTTGAAGACTATTATGTTCAAGTTTGAAGACAATCCATTCAAAAACAGCCAATAATAGCCAGAACAAGCAAAATTTGGACTTTTGACCTTGAAGGTCAAGGTCATTTATGGATGCAGGTCAAGGTTAGTTTGGTCTACTGAAAGGTCTTGTCCCAAGGGTTGTTGTGGTCAAGTATAAAGACAATACATCAAGAACTAAAAAAGTAATGATCCAGAGGCAACGGCAACGCCTCCAGGACTATAACAATACCTCTACTTTTTTTTTAAAAGTCGAGCTGAAAATGGCCTATATATATTAACACGTTCTTTTTTTCAATCTCAGTTACGTGTCTGTCATACCTTCACAGCTAACATCCTCTGGAATGCAAAAAGATACAATTCCGACTTCACTTTCCAAGCATTGGACCTTTTCTCCAGCAGGAAACTTATATTGACAGTGTTTAACCTTTAATGCCACACATTTTTGGTTTGGGCAGGTGTCTGTTGATTGCTCGGGGTTTTGGCACCAAGATTCTAACAGTGGGAATTTAAGATAAACTGCTCCATCTTTGTCAACCACTTTTCCCTTATCCATCACATGGCCACCTGCTGCAGGGTTCACCATTGCAAAACACATCAGGACTATTATTAAATTCTGCAAAAAATACAAACAAGAGGGCCATGATGGTCCTGGATCGCTCACCTGACACAACCGCATCCAAGCAATGTCTTAAACAAGCATCATGGCCAAGTTTGATGACAACTGAGTCAAACATGTGACCTCTAGTGTGTTATAAAGATTTTTTCATATTTGGGCAATGTGACCTAATTTTTGACCGGACACGACCCATATTAAAACTTGACCTAGAAATCATCAAAACAACCTTCCTGACCAATTTCCAAGAAATTTGGATCAAAACTGCAGCCACTAGAGTGTTAAAAAGATTTTTCTATTTTTAGCTCCTGTGACCTAGTTTTTAACCGGACATGACCAATCTTAGCACTTGACCCAGAAATCATCAAAACAACCTTCCTGACAAATTTCGAGAATATTTGAATCAAAACTGCAGCCACTATAGTGTAAACAAGCTTTTTCTATTTTTAGCTCCTGTGATATAGTTTTTGACATGAGATGACCCATCTTCGAACTTGACCCAGAAATCATCAAAACAACCTTCCTGACAAATTTCCAGAATATTTGAATCAATACTGCAGCCCCTAGAGTGTTAACAAGCTTTCTCTATTTTTAGCCCCTGTGACCTAGTTTTTGACCGAAGATGACCAATCTTCAAACTTGACTTATATATCATCAAAACAACCTTCTTGACAAATTTCCAGAATATTTAGATGAAAACTGCAGCCTCTAGAGTGTTAACAAGCTTCTTTTTTTTTTAGCTCCTGTGACCTAGTTTTTGACCTGAAATGACCCATCTTTGAAATTGACCTAGAAATCATCAAAACAACCTTCCTGAAAAATTTCCAGAATGTTTGGATGAAAACTGCAACCATTAGAGTGTTAACAAGCTTTTTCTATTTTTAGCTCCTGTGACTTAGTTTTTGACCAGACATGACCCATCTTCGAACTTGACCTAGAAATCATCAAAACAACTTTCCTGACAAATTTCCAGAATATTTGAATAAAAAATGCAGCCACTAGAGTGTTAACAAGCTTTTTCTTTTTTTAGCTCCTGTGACTTAGTTTTTGACCGGAGATATCCCATCTTCGAACCTGACCTAGAAATCATCAAAACAACCTTCCTGACAAATTTCCAAAATATTTGGATGAAAACTGCACCCTCTAGAGTGTTAACAAGCTTTTTCTATTTTTAGCTCCTGTGACCTAGTTTTTGACCGGACATGACCCATCTTCAAACTTGACTTAGATATCATCAAAACAACATTCATGATTCTTGACAAATTTCCCGAATATTTAGATGAAAACTGCAGCCACTAGAGTGTTAACAAGCTTTTTCTATTTTTAGCTCCTGTGACCTAGTTTTTGACCGGACATGACCCATCTTCAAACTTGACCTAGATATCATCAAAACAACCTTCCTGACAAATTTCCAGAATATTTGGATGAAAACTGCAGCCTCTAGAGTGTTAACAAGCTTTTTCTATTTTAAGCTCCTGTGACCTAGTTTTTGACCGGAGATGACCCATCTTCGAACTTGACCTAGAAATCATCAAAACAACCTTCCTGACAAATTTCCAGAATATTTGGATGAAAACTGCAGCCACTAGAGTGTTAACAAGCTTTTTCTATTTTTAGCTCCTGTGACCTAGTTTTTGACCGGAGATGACCCATCTTCGAACTTGACCTAGATATCATCAAAACAACCTTCCTGACAAATTTCCAGAATATTTGGATGAAAACTGCAGCCACTAGAGTGTTAACAAGCTTTTTCTATTTTTAGCTCCTGTGACCTAGTTTTTGACCGGAGATGACCCATCTTTGAACTTGACCTAGATATCATCAAAACAACCTTCCTGACAAATTTCCAGAATATTTGGATGAAAACTGCAGCCTCTAGAGTGTTAACAAGCTTTTTCTATTTTTAGCTCCTGTGACCTAGTTTTTGACCCGAGATAACCCATCTTCGAACTCGATCTGTATTTCATTGAGACAAACATTCTGACAAAGTTTGATGATGATCCAATCAAAACTGTGACTGCTAGACTGTTAACAACCCAATTGTTAGAGTGTTAACAAGCTTTTTCTATTTTTAGCTCCTGTGACCTAGTTTTTGACCGGAGATGACCCATCTTCGAACTTGACCTAGATATCATCAAAACAACCTTCCTGACAAATTTCCAGAATATTTGGATGAAAACTGCAGCCACTAGAGTGTTAACAAGCTTTTTCTATTTTTAGCTCCTGTGACCTAGTTTTTGACCGGAGATGACCCATCTTCGAAGTTGACCTAGATATCATTAAAACAACCTTCCTGACAAATTTCCAGAATATTTGGATGAAAACTGCAGCCTCTACAGTGTTAACAAGCTTTTTCTATTTTTAGTTCCTGTGACCTAGTTTTTGACCGGAGATAACCCATCTTCGAACTCGATCTGTATTTCATATAGACAAACATTCTGAAAAAGTTTGATGATGATCCAATCAAAACTGTGACTGCTAGACTGCTAACAATCCAATTGTTGACGACGCACAACGCACGACACACGACGACGGACGCCGGACATAGCCCCATCACTATACCTCACCTTGACCACTTCGTAGTCAGGTGAGCTAAAAATGAACCATCTCAATATAATTTTCAGGAAGTTAGTGTATAATATACAACAAGCCATTACTTTATATACAGTAGAACATCGATAAGTCGAAGTTTAAGAGACTTGCTTATGACTTGAAGACATTGTGACTTATGCATCCATCTGACTTTTCTTTTCTATCACCTTACCACTTAAGTTGAAAATGATAGAAAGATTCACTGAACAGATTTAGTTTTTGCACAATGTTGAACTGAACCCAGCAAGAGAGTGGGCTGTGTTAAAATATTACTACTGCATAAACCTATACCAGTGCAGCTATAATCGAAACAGCAACAGTACTTTGGGCAAATAGATATGATTCACTATGCCTTATTGCTGTCTAAATTGAATATGATTCACCATACCTTAATACTTGTAAAAAGACTAGTAGCACCGAAGTTACATGCTGGACGGTGTATAACATTTGATTGAAAGGCCGTTTTGTTCATTAATTCAGTGCTAACTTTCTCATCTGACAGGTCTTGATCACTCTGAAAAAGAAAACAAATTTCTTATACGACCATGTCGTAATCAAGCATAATGATGTACAATATTATTCTATAAATCAGGGCTTGAATAACTGATTACATTTATGCACCAATCAAATTCCCACTACAGAAAAAGTGGGAACATTTGGGTAAGATTTATCAAATGCCCAGTTATCTATTTTTTTCAGTTGAATTTTAATTCATACCGACACTAAAATGTCATATACATAGTGCCTTTCAATATTTACTGAAAGAAGAAAACCTCAGATGCACCTCCATGCATTATTTCTTGAATGAGCAGGCACTTGAGTATTACCACCAATGTCGCTAGCTGGATAGCTTCTGACCGAATCAGAAATTAAACCCCTAGTGAAAAGCCCTTGGTTTGGAGACCTCCAAATGGTAAAAACCTTGCTTAATGTCCATGTATTGCAAGTAAGATATATCGCAAGCTAACTTGGCATCAAAATAAAACCATCAAATGGACTTTGCCGAGATAGACATGTCTTTGGGGGGCTGAGTTTTAAGTGCCATGGACAATGTAATGGTCATACTGTGAAGTAATAATTTGGCTGATTTACGCCATATTTCTACCACTTGGCCAAAGGACAGGGGTTATAATATACTTGTGCATTAAACAGAGCTTAATTTAAATGCATAACTCTTCATAATGTTGATAAAATTGCTAAACTCTGTCTAGGTGATCCATATGTCTTCACAGTTTAATAAAAGCCTTGTTCAAATTTTTCAACTTCACACAGAGGGAAAAACATTACAGTGAAAATGTACAATAAAATTATGACATTTGAAGAAATTCTCATTAAAGAAGAATATTTGAAATGTTGACAATGTCAAACAATCTTTTCTCAAAATAATATTAAACTAGAAGGGTCACAAAAACATATGTCTCCCAAAACTATGTATGGTCACTCATGTGAAGTTTCATTGAAATCCCACCAGTAGCTTGACCTGTGAAAGCCAGACAAGATTTTTCTATTTATAGCTCTGACGGCCATTTTGTGCAGCAAAGCAGAACATGCCGGTGACATGCACAACTAGGGATGGTACTGATCACTCCTGTAAAGTTTGGTTGAAATCCCACCAGTAGTTTGACCTGTGAAGGCCGGACAAGATTTTTCTATTTTTAGCTCTGGCAGCCATTTTGTGCAGCGTAGCGGAACGTGCAAGTGATGTGCACAACTAGTGATGCAGGGCTCGCGCTGTCTGTCGCCATAGTTGCCATAATTTTATAAGATTGGCAATTATTTGTACATTTTGGCTACAAAATCTTGCGATTATTTTTTACTTCCAACAGTGTTTATATCAGGATAAAGAATGCAGTAGACCCAATTAACACCAGCGGGGTAGATTTAATTGAGTGTCAACTTTTTATTGGTCACGTGTTGCTAACTATATGCCCGAGGTGATAAAAATACATGCAGGTGATAAAAATACATGCGAGATGTTAAACTGTATAAGGACTTTAAAGATATTGTCCAGCATTATAACAGCCATCAAATATCCGTCAATTAGCCACAAAAATCATCTTAAAATTGATAAACTGTATATTGACCAACCAAAAATTTACCGAAAATTGCAGTAATGGCAAATTTTGATTTTTTGGTTTAAGCTGCTTGACTAAATCACCAGTGGAAAACAACGTTAAAATATTTAAAAAGTATTTACTTCCAAACAACTATTTGCACAACAACTAAAATTGTGAATATTTTTTCAGAAAATAGATAAAAATCTGATTGTCACATACATTTTGTATTTTCGCGACACCGATAATTTTGATATTTATTTAAAGGTGAAAGTAAGCCATGTTCTGTTTAAATATCTTTACTATTATGGCAGTAAATTTGTATTAAATTGGTGATGATGACATTTTTCAGTAAGTTATTCAGAAAAAAGGCTGCATTCTGTGAATGAGTTTGCAAGTGTTATTTCTATAGGCTAATATGACCTAGATCTACTCCAGTTCTGTGTGAAATGTGGAAATTGACAGTGGTTATAGCTGACAAAATTTGATTAGAACAAACAAAAGAAATTGTCTGATAACAGCATTATGTAAAGTTATAATGAATCTTTAATATTATTGTTATACAGTAATTATACTATATAACATTTTTATTTTGTTCTACAGTACGCTCAGCGCGGATTTTGCAAAACCTGCATGTCCCCACGGATGTGGCTCATTGCGGACGAAAATATGCTCAAATATTGTCCGCGTGACCCCGCGGACAGAAAATTTTCACCACCGCGGACATAAATCTACAGCCGTAAGCGTTTCCCCAGCGGAACACTCCGGTTAATTGCGGGGGAAGCGGTGGTCAATCACCGTGGACCGTGGTGGTATTCATCGTGAAAACGGTTAAATTTCACAAGTATTTTATGGAACTTGTTAAAACTTTATGAAATAGATGTAATCGTACAGTAAAGAATTTATATTCGAGTCTACTAAAATAATTTATTTGCCTTTACAGTCTAACTTGCCCATGTGACCACGTGTATTAAGCGACTTTTGTCTTAAACGACCACTTTAAATTCCCCCAGATCATTTTCTCTCTATATCTTTAATGTATTAAGCGACTTTTGCTCAACGCTACCAGCGACCGCTAATTAGTCACCTAATTGAGATAAATCTTTTCATTAAACGACCACTTTTACCTGTCAAGTAATTGTGTTTTTAGAGAACGCCACCTCTTAATGTCACAAGTGTCAACAATCAAACACAACAAATAAACATGTGAAAAACTCTATTTCCCAAGCCGTTTTAGCGTATGCAAATGAAGTTAAGTATACGCGTGACGTCTATATCCAATAATATCAGATAAACAATGCAACACTCCACCCCTACTGAGATGGTGTATACGCTTTGCTTGTGAACATTTAGACTGCATTGAATTGACCTTGAACTTGATCAGCAATTAAATTAAGCGTTACAATTAGATGTAGTTTGTTTACTCAACGCCAATAGTTGTATTGTGATTTGGTATAAGAATACCGCGTGTTACATGAGTTACTTCCCTTTGTGTTAGTTTTGCCATTTGCTCTGTAATAAAGTTAAATTGTTCGTTGGTGATTCTTTCTCCTTACTGGCGTGGTGGCAGCTGTGTTAATAAAGAAACAACGCCTGTTCGATGCTAAAAAGACTTTTTCGTTAGCCACTCTACCAAAAATGATATTTCAACACGCCCAGCAAAACAGCAGATAGTCTTGCATGATCGTGAAATTGTCCATTACGGCACAACCTCTCATGCCGATTCTAAACACAGAGTGCGCAGAGCCCAAGTTTCCTTCGTGATCCGTGCTCCGGGGTCTTCACAGGTTACATGGCCTGGGTCATTTGTAGAATTGGACACCCCCGGTGATGTCGATCCCGAGGGATCATTTGCTGTTGAGCCGAAATGTGAACACAACTCTTGGTTGTCACCCCAAATTGTTGATGCCGTTGGTGGTAAGATTCGTATCGTTAATACCACTGGTGAGCCCGTAGCAACCCGAAGACATGAGCATGTGTGTAATGCAAGACATACTGAAACTATGTATGAAAGCTGTACAGACCATTTAGAAACAAAAACAATGTCAAAAAATTTGAATCCTGGCAACTACTCAAAAACCGTTGTGCTTGACCCGGATAACACTCTAACCAATGAGACCAAACAGAAGTTTCGTACTACTCTGTATGAGTTTGACAATGTTTTCAGCCCACACCTAACTGGATACAATGGAGCAGTAGGCCCTTTGAAGGCAACAGTGAACATGGGGCCTGTTCTTCCCCCTCAGAGGAAAGGACGAGTACCTCAATACTCTAAAGACAAGCTTGTTGAGCTTCAAAGTAAATTTGATGAACTGGAAGAACAAGGCGTGTTTGCTCGACCTGAAGATACTAATGTTACCGTCGAGTATCTTAACCCATCATTCCTGGTTAAAAAGCCACAAGGCGGATTCAGATTGGTGACCGCATTTGCTGATGTAGGGCGGTATAGCAAGCCACAGCCTTCGTTAATGCCTGACGTTGAGTCTGTTCTAAGATCAATAGGCCAATGGCAGTATTTGATAGTTTCAGACTTAAAAAGTGCATTCTATCAGATTCCCCTTGCCCGTGAGTCGCTTAAGTACTGTGGAGTGTCTACACCATTTAAAGGTATCCGTGTATACACCAGATGTGCAATGGGAATGCCTGGCTCAGAGACGGCCCTCGAGGAGCTCATGTGCCGAATTCTGGGAGATCTACTCCAGGAGGGTATTGTTTGCAAGCTTGCAGATGATCTCTACTGTGGCGGTGACACACCTGAACAGCTACTTCACAATTGGCGTCGTGTACTCGCTGCACTCGATAATAGTAACATCAAACTAGCCCCATCAAAAACAGTTTATCTGCCCTAAATCAACCAATGTGCTAGGCTGGATTTGGTCAGAAGGGAATTTGTCTGCTAGCCCACACCGTGTAGCTACACTTGCTTCATGTTCAGCCTCCGGAAAATGTCCGCGGTTTAAGGTCGTTCATCGGAGCTTACAAAGTCTTAAGCAAAGTTGTCCCTGAATGTTCTATCTATCTTGCCCCACTAGACGATTTTACAGCCGGTCATCAATCCCAAACAAAATTAAAGGGTGGATAAACCCAAAGGGTTGAGCATTTCGAAAAGGGGAAAAAAGTCATTAAACGACCCTAAGCAATCGTCATCCCCAACCAAATGGGCAAATTGTGGATTGTAACAGACGGATTTGGTAAAAGGCGTGGTAAATTTGGGGCTAGTTGTTTTGTTATGCGAAAAAAAAAGCACGATTAGCAGGAAATTTTTTAAATGCGAAAATTTTCGCAGACCCAAATTCCCGGGGTACCCTGTGAAAATTTAGGCTTTAAGTTAAACGGGGCAGCCATTAAAACACTTTTTAGTCCGTATATTGTGCAATCACAAAAGCCCCGCCCTTCTTTTTACAGACCCGGGCCCCCCTGTGGGTTTAGGTTTAGTTTTAAAAGCTCTATAGGGGTGGGA